TCCTCTAAACTTGGTTGTTTTCTCTGTTATGGCCCAAAGGAGGGAGAACACGTTGTCAACACAACAGCTTGAGTGCACACATAAAGCAAATAGAGGCAAAGCTGTATTTGGCAGAGATAAGGTAGACTCAGTATGCAGCTGCAGTTCATCACAGGGCTCAGGTCAATGTATTTAATACAACACATGTATTTGCAAATATGCAATATGATGCACATGACTCCCTGGTCCTGAATGGGGTAACTGTGCCCCTGTAATGGGGTAACAGGTGCGCAGCCTGGGAGTCATTCTGGACTCACAGCTGTCCATGGAGGCGCAGGTCAATTCTGTGTCCAAGGCAACTGTTTATCAGCTCCAACTGTTACGCAGGCTGAGACCCTACCTGCCTGCAGACTGTCTTGCCGGAGTGGTGCATACTCTAGTTATCTCTCGCTTGGACTACTGCAATGCGCTCTATGTGGGGCTACCTTTGAAGGTGACCCGGAAACTACAACTAATCCAGAATGCGGCAGCTAGACTGGTGACTGGGAGTGGCCACCAAGACCATATAATACTGGTCTTGAAAGATCTACACTGGCTCCCAGTACGTTTCCGAGCACAATTCAAAGTGTTGTTGCTGACCTTTAAAGCCCTAAACGGCCTGGGTCTAGTATATCTGAAGGAGCGTCTCTACCCCCCATCGTTCTGCCCAGACACTGAGGTCCAACTCAGAGGGCCTTCTGGAGGTTCCCTCGCTGCGAGAAGCCAAGTTACAGGGAACCAGGCAGGGGGCCTTCTTGGTAGTGGCACCCGCCCTGTGGAATGCCCTTCCATCAGATGTCAAAGAGAACAACAACTACCAGACTTTTAGAAGACATCTGAAGGCAGCCCTGTTTAGGGAAGCTTTTAATGTTTAACAAGTTATTGTATTTTGATGTTCTGTTGGAAGCCGCCCAGAGTGGCTGGGGAAACCCTACCTGATGGGCGGGGTATACATTATTATTATTATTATTATTATTATTATTTTATTATTATTAATTTTCATTGACCTTTTAATGTATCCCGAGGGCCAATCTACACAAGGCAAGAGTCCATAGGGTTGTAGAGTTGGAAGGGACCCCCAAGGCGCATCTAGTCCAGCCCCCTTCCAATGCAGGAATCTCAGCTAGAGCATCCATGACAGATGGCTCTCCAACCTCTGCTTAAAAACCTCCAAGGAAGGGGAGTCCACAACCTCTTGAGGGAGACCATTCCGCTGTCAAACAGCTCTTACTGTCAGAAAGTTCTTCCTGATGTTTAGTCAGAATCTCTTGTAACTTGAAGCCATTGGTTTGAGTCCTACCTTCCATAGCAGGAGAGAAAGTTGCCCGTGTTGCTACAATTGAGCTTAATCCACACCATTCTCCATAGCTGTCCATGAAAGTATTAACAATATAAACCCAGCTTTATAGCATAATCAGTCATTCAAGTTAGTTGGGAGAGAGGGGTGGGGTCAGGGTGGAGGCAATAAACAGCTCTCTGGTCTAAACTGGGTTAATAAAACTGGCATTATTTAAAGCGTTTTCATATTCTCTTCAACCAAACAGCAGATGATACATCTGTGATAAGACTTCATAGAAAAGGGAGAGGGGTTGGGAGGGAGAAAGGGGTTGCGGAAGCAAACTCTGGTATATTTTGGATGAAGAAATATTTGTTCCCTTTTCTTCAGGTGACTTGCTTCTAGGCATGCCAAAGAGAAAAGCACGGAAGCCTCCACATAAGCGTAGAGACACAAGACATGACATAGAAGTTGAAGAATGGGAGAAGCCGAAAGCCACCCAACACAAGGGTAGGTTTATCAAGTCTAACCTAAGACTTAGTCCAGTGGTCTTCAGAGTGTGGGGGCCAGAATAGATTCTCAGAAGAAATTACTGGCCAGTAGAACTGGAAAACTTAATATGAGAACTTCACTGTGATTCTGTGCATGGGACGCTCCTAGGAAGTCGGATTTGAAACACAGGTCTGGGGAAATATGAAAGTGCACATGAATCTGAATCTTCAGGTGTTTTTCTATAGTGATTTGGCTTATCTCTGATGATAAGAGAGGCCACAGACACTTTCTGAGTTGCAAATGCAAGCCATCTGATGTTATAATCTCTACAGCATGGATATCTGAAATACCAGCCCTGCTTTGTAGGATGTAGAAGAGATGAGCAACCTGATTTCAGGTGTTGGCTAAGGTGACTTTGTATACTCAGCTTGCTATAGCTTTGCCTGTATTCTGACTCACCAAGCTGGAAAAGTATTTTGTGCATTGGGAAGGGCCCATTGCCTTGCACTTAAGATACCTTGTTCAATCCTTGGCACCTCCAGGTAAGGCAGGGAGTATTCTCTGCCCAAAGTCCTGCAGAACTGCTTCCAGTTAGATGGACCAAATCAGTCATGACGTGGCTTTTTGTGCAAACTCACCTTATTTTTGCTGCATTTTACCCTGTTGCCTGTTAAATTGCACCTATTGTGTGTGCAAAGAGTTTGTAGCTGCAAGAATGAGTGAGATGCAAGTATCTGTTGTGCCACAATACTGGCTGTCCTGTGGGGCTTTGCACTGAGTTAAGACTTGGGGACAAGTCAAATGTTTAGAAAGTGTGTGGAGCACACAGGTGAGCTCTTGAGAATAGATTTTTTTAGGAGTCCTGCAAGCTTCCCCAAACAGGTATTGCTTTCTCAACACTCCTGCACATGACCCATGTTTAGGCTCTGCCTCATCTAAGGTTTGCAGGTGAATCTCGGACAACGCCTTTAGTAGGTCAGTGTCTATCAAAATGTGATTGGATAAAAAGAGAGCCTGCAGCCTTAATAATTAACCTTCTTTAATATCATTTGTGCAGGACGTGGAACAAGGAGATCTCTCTATAAAAGAAGATAATCGTAACTGAAGTGTAAACCCCAGATATCATTCGGATGAGTCCTATTTAACGGTTGCAAGTGGCTCGGCAAGATTAAAGTTGCACTGTAAAGGTTTCTGAGCACACGTCTAACAAAATGTATAAAAAAATGAACACCAAAACAAAGGCACTTGGTTTTGTAAATAACACAACTGATATTGAACCAAAATAAAAGTTTAAAATTGCACTAATGGGATGTCTTCGGAATATTAATTGTAGCGCCTCAAACATTTACTTGAAATGGCAAACTTTGAAGCAAGTAAGTTTTCTGTTTGGAAACTGCAACTTACCTTAGTTTGAGAAACTTTCATTTAGGGTTGAATGAAGTTCCATTTTCAGAAGAACTCTGTTGGATATTATTCACTCGCTCAAGCGTTGTGAAATCCAGGGACAGCAAGAGTTGTTTAAATTTTTGTGGCCCAAAAGCTCCTGTTGCCCTCTCATTGTTACCTGGTTTTCATTGGCACTTATCTTCAAGCCAATACAGGTGAATGAGTTTTTTATTTGAGAAATCAGCTGCAACAATATTAACGTTTCTACCCTTATAAGGTTTCTCTTCTTCTTCTTTTTTAACAAAAAGAGAACCTGAATTTATGGTCTAGTGGTGCTACGTAAAAGTATATTCTGGTTATAACCACTTCACAAACATTTTCTGATATCCCAAAAGAATACATCTTGCTAACTTATTTTACAGACAATGTTTAGCTTCTCAAGCAATCTTTCTAGCAGTCAACCTGTTTGCTGCTTATTATTTTAAAAACATAGCAGCAAGATTATTTTTAACGCTTAAGGGTTCAGTTCCATAGGGCAGCAGAACTCTTTTATGTGCTCTGCATAATGATATTTGCAGGAAAAAGCGCAACTGAAATTTAAGTCTAGATTTCAATTGTAGTAATGCCAATCCTGCTATATGCTTTTGGTATGATGAAGCACACCTCTTTAAAATTACTGCTTGCAAGATGGCATCATGTGCAAAATTTGCATCATTTTGCCCTGTGAACAGAAAAGGCTTGTTGTGGCTCCCTATGTTACATCATATGCATGGCGCTTTCAAGTATGGAATTATCAGACAAAACAAAACTGTGCCATAATTCACATGGGACAGAGAGCTTTAAATCTGGTTCTCTACAGCTTGTGATCCTGCAAGCTGAATGCAGACCACTAACCCTGTTCCACTACTTGACGGCCCCTTCTGCTGCAGTTCCAAGCAGACGGCCCAAACACGAGATTTGAAGAGCCCCTCGTGGTCTGTTATAAAAGGCTGCTGGATTGCATTTGGCTGAGTGGGTCACCTATTTTACAGGCTGGCATTAAAGCAAAAATGTTTACATTGAAGTCCAACTGCAGCCATGAAGACATTTCCTCCCAATGGCAGAAAACAAACCACTTTCCACAATACTGTGATCTGTGTTTAATCACACTGTTCTGTACAATAATAAAAAGTCGACTACAGTACAGGCAATTGGAGTGAAGGTCACACCAAGTTCCTTTGTAGTTTTCTCGATTTCTCCCAGAGGCATTCCTTGTTAGTCTTCCTTCAACAAAGCCCAGGTATTGGCTGTGCAGGACCACAAAGGCCTTGTTTTCATGCTGCTAAAAGAATCCCTTTTTCCATATTCTCCAAGAAATACCACGGGGTGCTTCTCTACGCCTTGGGAGCTATGTGCCTAGCTTCTCCACTGGCAGCTTCCCCCTGCCTGAAAATTCTAATTTAATTTTTGACCTCTCAGGAGGCTAAAAAGAAATTGGGGGGGGGGGGCAGAGAACTGCCAAAAAGGAAAGTTGCAAGGGATGGAGAGAAAAACACTTAAGACACCAGAGGCTCTGTATCTCAGGTGCAGCCCTCTGTGCTCAAAGTACCAAACTTTGTCAAACCCGAACAAGGAGAAAAATGCAATGTGGAGGGACAGTGGGGGAGACCTGATAGGACGACTCACAAAATGACACCAAGGAGCACCTAAAACACGCCCTTTGCAGAGAATTGTTCTCTGAATGCTTCGCAAGATATTGCGAGCTTGCCGTAAGTCTCCTCAATGCACTTTGGATCTCTTGCTTGGTTTAGAAGATTTGTGCTTTCTCCTCTTCTTCTTTTCTTTCCTCTTCCTCTTTCTCTTGTGTTTTCCTTTATATCCTGAAGAGCTGGAGCTGCTGCTGCTGCTACTACTGCCTTCTTCATCCGAAGTGGAATCCTCTAGCAGCTGCTTCAACTGTTGTATCCTAAATGTACAAATGGACAATGAACACAAGACAAATTCCCCCTTTTGCCTGGCAGGGTAAAACACCTGTAGTTTTTTTTTTAGGTGGGTGGTAGTCTTAAATGGAAATGGAAATTATGACAGGAAAAGTGGAGGTCTCTACCCTTGAAAGCAACACTGAACTTTTCAAACCATCGCCATTAGATGAGCTACTGAAATGTAGTGGCAGACACACTGAACTTTGAATCGAGGTCCCCTGGGTTAAAAAAATATGCATAACTGGTAATCTCAGCCTCACTCGCACACATGCCCTGGCCTGAGCGTAAGACTGGTTTTTTTGAAAATTGATTATTATTAGGGGAAGGGGTGTAACTCACTGGTAAAGCATTTGCTTTGCAGAAGGTTCAGTCCCTGAGGTCTCCAGGTAGGCCTGGGAATGTCTCCTTTTCTAAAACCCTGGAGAGCCTCTGCAAATCAGTGCAGACAATACAGAGCTGGAAGCACCCAATGGTCTGATGCAGCGAAGACAGCTTCCTATGTTCCTATAGCACAGGGGTAGGCAACCTAAGGCCTGGGGGCCGGATCCAGCCCAATTGCCTTCTAAATCCGGCCCACGGACGGTCCGGGAATCAGCATGTTTTTACATGAGTAGAATGTGTGCTTTTATTTAAAAGGTATCTCTGGGTTATTTGTGGGGCATAGGAATTCGTTCATTTATTTTCCCCCCAAAATATAGTCCGGCCCACCACATGGTCTGAGGGACGGTGGACCGGACCCCTGCTGAAAAAGGTTACTGACCCCTGCTATAGCAAATGGAGGCCTCCAAACACTCTATAGAGTGCAATTATGATTGTGGTTATTATTGGATGCATGGAGCCAGATTAAAACAGGAATCAGTCTTACCGCATTTCCTTCTCATGGCGTTTATTTTCCCTTATAATATCATACATGGGGTCTTCGTGTGCCTTTAAAGAAAAAGGGGGAGGGAAGCTCAGTGCCCAATAGATAACCTGCAACTCGTTTGTTTTTAAATAATTGCTGTGTTTCCTAAGGATTCAAGCAAAGACCTTGCCAGCCTATGTCCTCATGCAGAATTACTGGTGATTGTTTTATCCATATTAACTGCTCTTCTTTAATTTAGAGTCAGAACCAGGGGTATAGGTATCTAAAATCAATGAATGATTCAATTGAATAGGTGCCTCACCCCTTTTGCAGTCGCAAGCTCTCTCTGATAAGTTCTCCTTCTCAACTGTTTTTTTCTTACAGCTGGGTTTCTTTACTGTTTCATTACCAAGCTGGGGATAAAAACCTTAACAGCAGCAGTAGGGAACATTTGATGGGGGGAATTCCTACCTCTACCTAACAGCACGCTACAGAAGATACGAAGTTCCTTAGTTAAAATAAAGAATTCAGACACTCTTAACGTAGCAGAATTTCCCAAAACACCATTAATAAACTAATGCCGCAATGTTTTACTTACTACTCTGAATTGTTCTAGCTTCTGCTTGCCTTTAATAAAGAATGGGCATTCTTTGTCTCCCGTTCTGTGTCCATAACGTTTACATCTCCAGCCTTGAGGGAGAAATGAGAAATATTAACATAGTGCTGTGCACCAAAAAAGTAAATATTTAGTACCTTTAAAACCCAGTATCTAAAAATGATTGGCTTTTCTTTACAAAACAAAGCACTGAACATTAGTTGCTTGCCCTCACATGACCAGATTTCTCCCTGCCCTTGTCTTGCATAGGAAAGGCAGTTGTGGCATGAGAGCACATATAGAGCAAGACTGACATGCCCCCCACTCTGTTTTAAGCAGACACTGAAAAAGATTACAGGTATTTCCCCCCCCCCCTACCCAGGGGTTACATTTCGGGACACGGGGCACATAAGCAGAGCCGTAGCTAGGCGATCTTGCGCCCCTGGCAGAACCGTCCAGATTGTGCCCCTAGCCATGGACAAATTAGCTGCTCTTTCTGCCTCTCCACCCAATCAATTCACCCTCTATTTAAAACCTTTTCTTATGAGACAACAATAAATATTTTTATTTATAGACTATTTCTGGACATGGGATGTGGGTGGCGCTGTGGGTTAACCACAGAGCCTAGGTCTCGCCGATCAGAAGGTTGCCGGTTCAAATCCCCGCAACGGGGTGAGCTCCCGTTACTTGGTCCCTGCTCCTGCCAACCTAGCAGTTCGAAAGCACGTCTAGTGCAAGTAGATAAATAGGTACCTCTCTGGCGGGAAGGTAAACGGCGTTTCCGTGTGCTGCTCTGGTTCGCCAGAAACGACTTAGTCATGCTGGCCACATGACCCGGAAGTTGTACGCCAGCTCCCTCGGCCAATAAAACGAATGAGCGCTGCAACCCCAGAGTCGGCCACGACTGGACCTAATGGTCAGGGGTCCCTTTACCTTTACTATTTATGGACATATTTTAGCCAGTTTTGTGCCCCCCTCGCCTGAGCCCCTGGCGGGGGGGGGCACCTCACCACCCCCTAGCTACGGCCCTGCACATAAGTGAAATTGCATAAATTGGGGTGCACCCTCTAAACACCCTCTCTGCCACTCTCTCCAATCCAGACAAAAAAATACTGTATCCAGAAATACCCACCACTATAACTGCAGCTCTACGGCTGTAAAAATGGCCGATGCTGGTGTGCTACCGCAAACACCAGCTGTTAGATGGGGTGGCTCAGCAGCCTAAACAAAACCCCGGTGAACCTCTGGTCTCTCTGGGGCTTTGAAAAAATCCCTAAGCCCCAGGGTCACAATTTCAGCAAAAATCTGACTTTTGGCAATTCACTCAAAAATGGTGCCAACCGGTTGCAAATGCTCCCCTGAAAGCTTTGGCAGTCGAAACAGAAGGCTTTTTATCACAGGACAAGAAATCAGCCCTCAACAACTTAACCGGCGGAAAATATTTTTTTGAAAAAATCCCTAAGCCCCGGGGTCACAATTTCAGCAAAAATCTGACTTTTGGCAATTCACTCAAAAATGGTGCCAACCGGTTGCAAATGCTCCCCTGAAAGCGTTGTCGATGGAAACAGAAGGCTTTTTATCACAGGACAAGAAATCAGCCCTCAACAACTTAACCGGCGCAAAATATTTTTTTGAAAAAATCCCTAAGCCCCGGGGTCACAATTTCAGCAAAAATCGGACTTTTGGCAATTCACTCAAAAATGGTGCCAACCGTTTGCAAATGCTCCCCTGAAAGCGTTGTCGATGGAAACAGAAGGCTTTTTATCATAGGACAAGAAATCAGCCTTCAACAACTTAACCGGCAGAATATTTTTTTTAAAAAAAATCCCTAAGCCCCGGGGTAACAATTTCAGCAAAAATCTGACTTTTGGCAATTCACTCAAAAATGGTGCCAACCGGTTGCAAATCCTCCCCTGAAAGTTTTGGTGATGGAAACAGAAGGCTTTTTATGACAGGACAAGAAATCAGACCTCAACAACTTAACCGGCGGAAAATATTTTTTTGAAAATATCCCTAAGCCCCGGGGTCACAATTTCAGCAAAAATCTGACTTTTGGCGATTCACTAAAAAATGATGCCAGAAGCTTGCAAATGCTCCCCTGAAAGGTTTGGCAGTCGAAACAGAAGGCTTTTTATCACAGGACAAGAAATCAGCCTTCAACAACTTAACCGGCGGAAAATATTTTTTTGAAAAAATCCCTAAGCCCCGGGGTCACAATTTCAGCAAAAATCTGACTTTGGCAATTCACTCAAAAATGGTGCCAACCGGTTGAAAGCTTTGTCGATGGAAACAGAAGGCTTTTTATCACATGACAAGAAATCAGCCCTCAACAACTTAACCGGCGGAAAATATTCTTTTGAAAAAATCCCTAAGCCCCGGGGTCACAATTTCAGCAAAAATCTGACTTTTGGCAATTCACTCAAAAATGATGCCAGAAGTTTGCAAATACTCCCCTGTAAGCGTTGTCGATGGAAACAGAAGGCTTTTTATCACAGGACAAGAAATCAGCTCTAGACAACCTAACCGGCGGAAAATATTTTTTTGAAAAAATCCCTAAGCCCCGGGGTCACAATTTCAGCAAAACTCTGACTTTTGGCAATTCACTCAAAAATGGTGCCAACCGGTTGCAAATGCTCCCCTGAAAGCTTTGGCGATGGAAGCAGAAGGCTTTTTATCACAGGACAAGAAATCAGCCCTCAGACAACTTAACCGGCGGAAAATATTTTTTTGAAAAAATCCCTAAGCCCCGGGGTCACAATTTCAGCAAAAATCTGACTTTTGGCGATTCACACAAAAATGATGCCAGAAGCTTGCAAATGCTCCCCTGAAAGTTTTGCCGTCGAAACAGAAGGCTTTTTATCACAGGACAAGAAATCAGCCCTCAACAACTTAACCGGCGGAAAATATTTTTTTGAAAAAATCCCTAAGCCCCGGGGTCACAATTTCAGCAAAAATCTGACTTTTGGCAATTCACTCAAAAATGATGCCAGAAGCTTGCAAATGCTCCCCTGAAAGTTTGGCGATGGAAACAGAAGGCTTTTTATCACAGGACAAGAAATCAGCCCTCAACAACTTAACCGGCGGAAAATATTTTTTTGAAAAAATCCCTAAGCCCCGGGGTCACAATTTCAGCAAAAATCTGACTTTTGGCAATTCACTCAAAAGTGATGCCAGAAGCTTGCAAATGCTCCCCTGAAAGTTATGGCGATGGAAACAGAAGGCTTTTTATCACAGGACAAGAAATCAGCCCTCAACAACTTAACCGGCGGAAAATATTTTTTTGAAAAAATCCCTAAGCCCCGGGGTCACAATTTCAGCAAAAATCTGACTTTTGGCAATTCACTCAAAATGATGCCAGAAGCTTGCAAATGCTCCCCTGAAAGTTATGGCGATGGAAACAGAAGGCTTTTTATCACAGGACAAGAAATCAGCCCTCAACAATTTAGCCGTCAGAAAATATTTTTTTGAAAAAATCCCTAAACCCCGGGGTCACAATTTCAGCAAAAATCTGACTTTTGGCAATTCACTCAAAAGTGATGCCAGAAGCTTGCAAATGGTCCCCTGAAAGTTTTGGCTGTTGAAACAGAAGGCTTTTTCTCACAGGACAAGAAATCAGCCCTAAACAACTTAACCAGCGGAATATTTTTTTTGAAAAAATCCCTAAGCCCCGGGGTCACAATTTCAGCAAAAACTGACTTTTGGCAATTCACTCAAAAATGATGCCAGAAGCTTGCAAATGCTCCCCTGAAAGTTTTGGCGATGGAAACAGAAGGCTTTTTATCACAGTACAAGAAATCAGCCCTCAACAATTTAACCGGCAGAAAAAGATTTTTTTGAAAAAAATCCCTAAGCCCCGGGGTCACAATTTCAGGCAAAAATCTGACTTTTGGCAATTCACTCAAAAATGTTGCTAAACCCGTTGCAAATGCTCCCCTGAAAGCTTGGCAGTGGAACAGAAGGCTTTTTATACAGAAAGAAACAGCATCTGGATAACAGACTTTGCAACCGGCTGGAAAATTTGACTGAATCGCCAAAAGTCAGATTTTTCCTGAAATCTGACCCCGGGGCTAGGATTTTTTCAAAAAAATCTTCTTCTGTCGTTTCAGTTCGTCGAGGGGCGGATTTCTTGTCCTGTGATAAAAAGCCTTCTGTTTCGACTGCTAACCTTTCAGGGGAGCATTTGCAACTGTTGGCACCATTTTTGAGTGAATTGCCAATCAGATTTTTGCTGAAATTGTGACCCCGGGCTTAGGGATTTTTTCAAAAAAATATTTTCCGCCGGTTAAGTTGTCGGGGGCTGATTTCTTGTCCTGTGATAAAAAGCCTTCTGTTTCCATCGCCAAAACTTTCAGGGGAGCATTTGCAACCGGTTGGCACCATTTTGAGTGAATTGCCAAAAGTCAGATTTTGCTGAAATTCTGACCCCGGGGCTTAGGGATTTTTTCAAAAAAATATTTTAGGCCGGTCAAGTTGTCGAGGGCTGATTTCTTGTCCTGTGATAAAAAGCCTTCTGTTTCCATCGCCAAACTTTCAGGGGAGCATTTGCAACTGGTTGGCACCATTTTGAGTGAATCGCCAAAAGTCAGATTTTTGCTGAAATTGTGACCCCGGGGCTTAGGGATTTTTTCAAAAAAATATTTTCCGCCGGTTAAGTTGTCGGAGGCTGATTTCTTGTCCTGTGATAAAAAGCCTTCTGTTTCCATCGCCAAACTTTCAGGGGAGCATTTGCAAGCTTCTGGCATCATTTTTGAGTGAATCGCCAAAAGTCAGATTTTTGCCTGAAATTGTGACCCCGGGGCTTAGGGATTTTTTCAAAAAAATATTTTCCGCCGGTTAAGTTGTTGAGGGCTGATTTCTTGTCCTGTGATAAAAAGCCTTCTGTTTCCATCGACAAAGCTTTCAGGGGAGCATTTGCAACCTTCTGGCATCATTTTTGAGTGAATTGCCAAAAGTCAGATTTTTGCTGAAATTGTGACCCCGGGGCTTAGGGATTTTTTCAAAAAAATATTTTCCGCCGGTTAAGTTGTCGAGGGCTGATTTCTTGTCCTGTGATAAAAAGCCTTCTGTTTCCATCGCCAAAACTTTCAGGGGAGCATTTGCAAGCTTCTGGCATCATTTTTGAGTGAATTGCCAAAAGTCAGATTTTTGCTGAAATTGTGACCCCGGGGCTTAGGGATTTTTTCAAAAAAATATTTTCCGCCGGTTAAGTTGTCGAGGGCTGATTTCTTGTCCTGTGATAAAAAGCCTTCTGTTTCGACTGCCAAAA